ACATCATCTGTGTGGTTTACATGTTATTACACAGTTGGGAGTTTATCCAGTGCTCACTCAAAGAGTAAAGACTATGATAAAGATTGTTGCGCAGGTAAATTATCTTGAAATTTTAAAAAATAAAAATAAAATAAATAATAATAATAAAAATATATATATAAAATAAAAAAAATAAAAAATAAAAATAAATATATATATATATATATATATATATAATTACACTCTATATATACATATTATATATTCAAATAAAGATAAAGTAGACCTTCTAAAATCAATTTATAAACAACATTTATCCATTTACATCTATTCCTTTTTCTTAAAAATAAAATAAAATCAATTTTACTTCAAAATTCAGTGACCTAACCTAGTTTTTTAAATTTGTAAACTTTGCCTATTCAATACATCAATTAGGTAAGATTGAAAAATAAGATATGGACTAAAGAGTCATGTTAAATATTTTTTCTTTTCAAGAAATTAAAGGGAGACACCTCCAATATTTTTAGAAAATATTTTTCTTTGTACCAATTGCATTCATTATGTAATTTTAAAACATGTGAATACTGAGTTTACATAAAAAAAAATTGTACTTCAAATAGTTTCTTCGCATGAATAATTTTTTTAAATTATCTTTATTGAGATGATTTTCTTTGAACGTAATTTTCTTACTTATTTTTATTTATAAAAGCAACATGATATAAATATATCATAACTTTGACTCATTGGCTTTCCAATTGATAGGAGATTGACACCACCTACCACAAGGCTTCATAAAGTACCATATGTCGGAATTTGACTCATTGATAATATTTTTAATGAACTTTTTCATTGAAAATCTCTTATTAAGCTAAATTCTTACGGGACATTTGTTGAAAATCAATAATTTTCTGTTAGTTAAATATTTTTGGAAAATAAAAATTTGTCCACTTTTGATAAACTTAAAAAATTAAAACTATTCAAAAGGATAATGAAGAGAACACTTTGAACCCACCCCAAACATAATGACCATTTTTGTTGATTTCTCACAAATAAGTTGTTACTGAAAAATTATGAGTTAACTAGCATATAATCATACTTTAACTAAATAGAGATTTAAGAAAAATAATACACAATTTTAATAATGTTCGACTTTATCTAATCATCAAACTATCAAAGCAAAAGCAGAGAAAATTTTTACTACGAAAAAAACGAATCTCATGAAATTCTTTATGTTATTTTACTTCTCGATATATTTTCAAAAATATAATTATATGTTGGTCAACTCACACTCTTTATAACATAACATAAAGTAAATAATATAAAAAATGAGATGCATAGACCTACTAATGTATCTCACACTTAAAAAACATAATTATAACTTCAAAGTAGCTGGGCAATTAATTCTATATTTTCTTCATTGTTAGGTAACCATGATTTGCTTAGTAAATAATTAAATATAGAATTTTACTATTTCTAAGTAAACTTGAGAAAATTTATATACGTATTAAAAGTACATCTTCCCATATTAATAATTATTTTACAATACGTAGATATATACAACTTCCTACCTAAATCTTAAAATAATATTATAGTTGCACAACCATGCTTATACTATAGTCAATACCATAATTATTCAATTTGATAGATTGCAAACCTACCAAATCAATAATTTAAATAACTATTTAATTTATTGAGTTTTATAATATATTAAGTGTATCATTCATAACTAACCATCAAATGATGTGGTGTAATGGATGTGACTGTTTTTTTCTTAACTAAAGGTTTCAGATTCGAGTTTTAGGTATGAAAAAATTATTTGTAGGGAGTGTTTCTCTCGCATTACGAATGTGAAATAGTTGCGTTCCTATGCAGGTACCAGATATCGGATGAAAAAAAAGTATCATTACTACAAAATATAATAAATTCAAGTTGACTTGAATATTAAAAAAATTGTAAAGAAAAGTGCATATTTAGACCAATATGTTTACATTGGTTCATTTTTCAAATTAGTTAGACCTTTGTTTTCCTTGGTGCCAAATTTTCAAATAAAATAATTTCTTCAATCAAAATTATAGGGAATATTAGTTGCAACTCAAAAGTTTATTCTTCTTTGAGCAATAGGTAAAATTTCATTTTTTTTAATTATCAAGGCTGAAAAATAAATAAAAATATGTCAGTAATTTTTTCATAACTTATCTCTAAATTAAACGATCTTTATAAGTTTACAAAAGAGGATCTTGATATACTTTCTTTAAAATGGATATAATTTTATTTTTATTTGATAGAAGTATTGAAAACACCTCTAAACTCGGTATGAATTATTAGTTTCATCTCCGAACTATTGACAACCTTAAAAACACCCGATTACTTGACTAGTTGAACTTCAATACACCTCCGATCTTGCAACATGAGCGAAATACACCCCTAAATTCTCATCAAGTTTAAGGGTGTTCTCAACACTTCTCATTAAGAACCTCATGCTCCTACAAGAGTTTGAGACCACTTGCTATGACATGTGACATATCAAAATTGTATCATAGTTTAGTTAGTCAAGTAGAAAGACGTTTTTAAGAGTATTAATAATTCAAAGACACAACTAATAATTTGCACTAAGTTCAGAGCAGTTTTCAATACTTCTCTTTTTATTATAGTCCATTTTTCCTTTCAATTTTTTTACTTTAATCTCTAATTTCCTTTTTACTCCTAAATTAATTTTTAATGAAATAACCATTAGCAAGAAATAAAAAAGTGACAGAGAATTTGCGTCATGATCAGTGGCAAAGGTGTAAAATTAGTCAACGTGAAGGGTAAATATGGAATACGTCATCCTGACAACAATTCCCACTATGAGCAAAACTCAATTTGCTGACTACAATTTCTGAATAATTTCTGACTTTTTCATTTAAAATAAAAAATATAAAAAAATATAAAAATATATAATAAAATAAAAAGAAAAGAGACAAAGTACAAAACTTAAGAGGTCCCTAGATATATTGCGCCCACTGAAAAGTAGGTTGCTTTACAAATAATCCACCTCTTTCCAGAAAAAAATAATACAAAAAATAAATAAATAAAAAATCATGTACTTTAAACAATATTTTTTTACCAACAAAAAGCTAAAATATAATAAAAGTTAAAAGGAAATCATCATTTTACGTTTCTTGTTTAGGAAAAAAAACATTAGATTTATATTTATAAAAAGATCTTCTATGAAAATTAGACAAAATGTTTTTATTTTATTTTGGGATAAGACATTACAAAGAGTATAATTTTCGAAGTTATTATCTTCAGAAAATCGTTAATTTCAAATTTGTCAAAATTTTCTCCTCGATGAGGGATTTCAATTGAAAATTCGTTGAAAACAATATTGACAAGGTAAATTTTGATTATTTTTATTGAAGATTTATCGATTTTCAATTAGTATATAGTTTAATAACACACATAAAAATAAAATCTGATTTTTTTTTTATGAAAATAAGTATTCATGTGGATTGTTACTTCCAGATTAGATGAATAATTGAATTATACTTAATTAATTATATCACTTATTTCTACTGTTCAGATATGAATATTTTGCATAGTCATTCTCGTAATAAATACTCACGTGGATTCTCACTTTATGTATTCTTTAAATTTTTTTATTTTAAACCACATAACTAAAATCTCATTAAAGTTGTTTATCAGAGTAATTAGTGTCCTATTGAGGTATCTTTTCTAAATCATGAGAGATTATGATGGAGTATATATGATTATGATGGAGTAAATATGATTATGATGGAGTATATATATATATATATAAATTAATTAGAGATTTTAAATTTAAATTTTAGATTTAAATTATTTTTGATGAGGAATACTTTACTCCTCACGTAAAAGAAATTCGGATTTTTGCAAATGAAAAAATTCAATTGAGAACACCATCTAAAAAATGGATTAAATAATAGTATATGATTTAAATTTAATCGGAGTTCAAATACATATGTTAAATCTTAAATAGAAAACATAAAAAAATGAAAAACATTCTATTGAAAACGCTGTCTCAAAAATGAATCATAAAACGTGCGATTCAAATATGATCAGAGTTCAATACAAATATCAAATCTTTAAATAAAAAAAACATTAAAAAAAACAAAAAAATATTCTACTAAGAACAACATCTCAAAAATGAATAATATACTCCTTCCATTTTAATTAACACGAAATTTAGGAAATAAAGAAATACTTTTGAAATTAATGATCTAAAATAAGTTATAAATATTTGTGTAACTATAAATCATTTTATTAGAGATAAAATAAACATTTTAAAATTAAAATTAAAAATATATAACTCTTTTTGAAACGAACTAAAAAGAAAAGTAAATCATATAAAAAGTACGGTAAAAAGTATAACATATTACTATTGGTATTTAATCGAAATTCAATACAAATATCGAACTGAGATTCTTTTGTGTAGTCCCAATGAACAATGAGCCTCCTGAATTAGAAAGCCGACAAGAAACTCCTACAGTGGCACATTACACGTAATTCCCTACTATTTCAAAGTCTATTTCTGTCAACTCCAAGAAAAATTAAACTAATTAACTCCCTCACTAATTAAATCATTAGCGCATTTTAGCAAGACATAAGCATATGTTAGCACACTCCGCACCACCTATTTTTACCCCCTTCCTCTTCCCTCTCTGCTGCTCCTACTTCTTCTGGTGATGAAAAAAAGCACACAGAGCAAAAACACTAACAGCAGCCTCCTCTCCCAACTACCCACTTCCTAAAAAAACACATAATACACACAGTGATTACACTTTGGAACACCAAAGATTCTATTTTGAACATCCCCAAGAATCAAGAACACACTGAAAACTAATAAAGCTTTGATCTTTACTCTCTTTAGTCACTAAAGATTCATATATTTGTTGGGTTTTTGTTAAAAATGGAGAAAATTGTGTTTGTTGTCAACTGTGAACTTAAAGCTTGTGGTATAGTGTAGTTTTCTTCTCCATTTTCTTGGCTGAGGAAAACTGTTCTTTTTTTTTTCTTCTTTCAGTTTCAACCTTTTTTTTCTACCCATAGAATGGGTTGCAGGCTAAAATCAGTAGAGAATTTGGATCCTGTGAGAAAAAGAAGTGGTGGACTGAGAACTAAACAGGCAGGGCGTGGGTCTTGCAGGGGGAGTTAGTTTCTTTAATCTGTAATTTTTTAGCTGAGAAAATTTGAAAGTGAATAAACAAAAGAATAGTGCAAAAATGGGGTATTTGCTGAAAGAGGTTTTAAAGACTCTGTGTGGAGTCAACCAATGGTCTTATGCTGTTTACTGGAAGATCGGTTGCCAGAACACAAAGTGAGTTTTTTTTTCCTATTTTTCAATGAATGAAGTTTTTTTTTTCTTTCAAGAAAATGTAATAGTATTGGCTTGTGACTTGAGTTTGAGGTTTTATGTGAAAGTTTTGTTTGATGGAAGTGAAAAAAGAAGTGATCTTGGCTTGTGGGTTGATTTCAGATTTCATGTTGATTCTTGTTTTAGTTTTTTCATGTTGTTGAAAGTTGAAAAATGCAATCTTGGCTTGTGGATTCAGACATTGAGTTCATTTTTATGTGAAATTTCATTTTCTGGATGCCGTGTACTGTCTTTTGTATCAATTGACTTATTTTCTCCACTGTCAAATTTTGATTTGTTGCACTTGAGCTTCTTTGCCTTCACGAGGTAGTGGTAAGGTCTAGTTTATTCTACCCTTTGCTAGATCCAACTTGTGGGATTATTGTAGGTATGTAGTTGCTGTTTCTTGTTGGGTGTAGCTTTATTTTGTTCTTTTTTATTAAACCAAAAAGAAAATGAGAGTTGATAAAAGAGAATACTGATCCTATAATCTTGCTTAAGATTTGATAAAAGAAAATGAGATGTTTATGAATTCATTTCTTTTTGAGGCAAAATGGAGAAAAGTGTAGGATTTTACTATTTTTTTGTTTGTTTTTTCTATGGCATTTGTTTTTTCATCTTTTCATTTTTCTTGTTGTTCTGGTTTCTGTTTTGGATTTTGTGCTGACAACTGTTCTTTCTCTTTGCTGAGAAAATGGAAGACAAATGAAAGTAATAAACTGAAAAAGTGTTAAAAGTTTGATGGTCCTTTTGTTGTTCAGCACTTCAGCTGTTGCTGCAATACTGTGAACTGAGTTTCACTGATTCTATTGTGTTCACTTCTTTTTTTTTTGACCAAACAAAACTGCTAGCTTTCTTTAATGTGTAGCATAATACTGTGCTAGTAGGTAACAATGTGGTGTCTTGTTATCCATCCATTCTGATAGCTGTACTATTCTTGTTTTTTCGATTATCATATTATTTTGTTGTAGTTACTGTCTTCTTACTATCTGCTATTTCTTGTAGTTTTGTTACTTCTTTTTCTGGACTGCTTCGGAGGGGTTAAGGTCTGCCTAGACTCTACCCTATCCAAACTCCACTTGTGATATTATACTGAGTATGTTGTTGTTGTTGTTGTTTTTTATTATGGTATATATGATTTGACATGCTATAAATTTACTAGATATTGTTGTGTTTTTGCTTTTTCTTTTATTATCTGGAAACTGTCATTTTCTGCTTTTGGAATGTTGTGGTTTGTTCCAGTCCATTTTGTTTTGAAGAATCTTATTGGAATGAATGAAAAGGAAAATAAATAAATGAAAGTGATTTGTTTTAATCTGATGAAACCCTTTATACTGTTATGATTTTCCTGTATAGAAACATATACTCATTACTCATTCTTGTTTGATTCTATATGTGTTGTTATTCTCCAATTTCTTGTCTCTTTCTTCTTCTTTGTTTTATGTATGCACTTCTCCAGTAATCTTGCTTATAAGAACACATAGAACTGTCACTTTCTATTAATATTAATGACACTGAATCTTGGCTTATCTGCTGGAATTTACTATAGTTTTTCTTATTTTTTTACTTGTACTGATTGGCAGGCTTTTAATTTGGGAAGAATCCTATTATGAACCTTCAACATTCTCCGGAATTCATGGAATTTCGGGGGTTGAGAATCCGGAATTATCATTCCATGATTGGGGCGTTTGCTGGGGTTCGGGGGAGGTACGTAATCCTCAGCTTATGAATCAAGCAGGGGAGAGAGTGCATTTGCTTGTAAACAAAATGATGATGGAAAGTCAAATCAATATAGTAGGAGAAGGGTATAATATCTGAACTTTCAGTTTATTGATTCTTTTTTTATAAAAAGTATTGAAAAGATTTTGTTTATTTATACCATGTCGTTGATATGCATAATTTTACTTCTCAGACTAGTCGGACGGGCTGCAGTTACTGGGAGTCATCAGTGGTTTCATTCAGAGGGTTTTAGTAGAGTAGTTCATCCACCAGAGGTACATTTTGATATAATTTTTAGCATGCTGAGGTTAAGAGCCCGTTTGCCGTTGTGAAATTTGAAAAAATAGTCGTTGTTTTCAAAGTGAAAAATGGTATAATATACAAATTGGACTTGTTTTGAATTTCTGTGAGTGATCACTCATTTAGAAAACAACTTTTTGGTGTTCTTCAAAATGTTTTTCCAAACATGATGTTCAACTCTGGAAAGAAGTAAAAAAATATTCATGGCCTAACGACCACTAAGTTATATCCTGAGAGAATATGTAGTACGCATTAGTATACAGGATTTATGCTTTCTCAACAGCATTTAGAAATTTGAATAGCTGCCCCTTGCGATAATCAGTTGTGTGGTTAAAATTTGATAGTTTTACCATTGAACTGAATTTGGTCAAGGTTAAAGACAAACTATATATACAATTATTTTTATTTTTATCTTTTCAAAAGGCTAAAGATAAACTTAAGCTAGGTTAATCCTAAATCTTGTATCCTTTTTTATTTTATTTTATTTTTTATAATGAGGAGATGCTACGGTATGTGTCCTGATGAAACAACTGATACTCATTAGTGTATCCATACGCTGTTGTTCTTTTAGGTCCTGAAAGAGCTCACGGGACAATATTCTGCTGGCATCCAGGTACAATGTGTTTGAGATAACATACATACTAATGTGTGTTTTTGTTTTGCTGGTCACTGATTCTTTATATTGTTGATACATGCAGACAATTGCAGTTGTTCCTGTTCTTCCTCATGGTGTCGTCCAATTTGGATCATGCTTGCATGTAAGTCTATTTTGCTTTTTGTTTTTCATTTTCTCTTTTTTTTTTTGACAGAAAACAAAAAATTGTATTTTCGTCATTGTTGCCTTTAAAAGACAAGTTAGGGGTCAAATAGAGTAGAATATATAGCAGTGTTGTCAGAGGTGCGCTTTTAAGCCTTGAAGCGGGATTCAAAACGTATTGAGCGTTTCACCTAATGTGCGCCTTAGTCTCGTCATCAAGGTTCTAAGGCATGCTCTTTTCCTTGCCGATGAGGCGACACTAAACAATTGATATATCACTTTATCGTAAATATTTTTCAATTCTTTGTTCATATATTTTGTCATTCATGCTTTTATAATTGTTACTCTTGGACTAAATATAAATATTTGTACCTTTTCTCCCTTTTCGTCTTTTTTCAGTAAACCCCACAATTTATTTGCGCTTATAGCCCCAACGGACCTTGGAGCTTTCTTTGCATTTTTTACTTTTGTTAATACCGATATTTAGGCTTATTGATTGATTGAATTTCTTTTTTTATAACTACTATCATAAACTACATCAAGTAAAATGGTAATTTTTTTGCCTCAGATAATGGAGAGCACGAGTTTTGTGGAGGATGTGAGGATACTGATAAGTCAACTAGGATGTGTCCCTGGTGTCTTGCTATCCGATGAAAATGCAACGAAAGATCCGATGGTGAATACTGGCACGCCAGTTTATCTGGGAAGTTCAAGTCTTGTAGATTCTTGTGTGAGCACAAACGTAATGAACTCTGCTCCAGTTATTGCTAGCTGCAGTTATCAGGGCAACTCAAGTCAGACTGATGGTTTTATTTGTCAAACTTCTTCCTCTATGGCTGCACAAGTTCGGGATAGAATAATGCAGTCTACCGATGCAACATTTCCAGCGTCCAATATGACCCAATGTTTTGTTGAATCTCATGATGATCGTCAGTTTCACAAGAAAATTATTCCAGAGGTGAAAGCACATCTGTCTCCTAATAGCCAGCTAATAAATAACGTGATTAAAGCGGAGGTAATTTCTCCAAGCTCTAACATGTGGATGAGTCAACAAGCTCCTTCACACATTCCGAGGCCTCCCTTTCATCAGCAATCTTTTACTGACTCATTAACTGTAGATAGCGGCAGCTTAAGCAATGTATCCCAGCTTAATGGTTTCACTGCATCTGATCCAAGACCCAATGATGTCCTGATCTCTAGTTGTCATGGAAATTCAATTTCTCCATCCACTGGAGAAAATGAACTATGTAAACGAGGGGATGGGCATCACCGATCAATTCCATGCCCCAATTCTACTGTTGATGCCAATGGACTATCAAACATAATCAGTTCTTGCACAAAGTCGGCTGGAAATGGGCTTCAAACCACGTCAAAATTAAATGTTGGTGATGATTTGATAACTCGTAATATTTCTGATGGTCTGAATGCACAATTTATGTGGGATGAGAGTAATGGAATAGTCGAAAATGATTTGTTTCAAGCACTTGGAATTATGCTAACACAGAATGAGCATCCATGTAGTACAAGCAAGTCGATGCAAGAGGTTTGTGGTGAAAAACATGAATATGTGGGGCAGAGTGCATTACTTGAAAACAACAAGTATGAAGATTCCTGTGTCCAACGTCACTCGGGGGATGACCTGTTTGATGTTCTGGGTGCTGATTTTAAAAATAAACTATTCAATGGAAGCAGGAACAGTTATCAAAGTAATGGACCAGACTCAAACACATGGGATCGGGTTAAGAGTAACTCTACTTCTGTGATTAGTCAGCATGCTTCTTCGATAGTCAATCAAGGAAAATCAGATAGTGGATCATTCTTCGTGGCTGGTTTTGAGCGTCTTTTGGACTCTATAGCGTCCAAGCCTTCTGCCAAGCAGAATCTGGATGATGATGTTTCTTGTCGGACAACGTTGACAAATTTGAGTAGCTCCTCTGCTCCAAATATCTCATCGTCCTATGGCCGAGCTGGTTTCTCGAGTCAAATTCAAGGAGATGTATTTGGGAAACCCAAGAACCTTGCAAAATCAGGAACAACAGTTTCTCGGTCATTTAGATCCGATAAAGAAAAGACAGGAGCTTATTCGCAGAGTAGTTCAATTTATGGGTCACAAATTAGTTCATGGGTGGAACAAGGTCGTGATACAAAGCCAACTAGCAGTGTTTCTACTGGATATTCTAAGAAGCCTGATGAGACGAGCAAGACCGGTCGCAAAAGGCTTAAACCAGGAGAGAATCCTAGACCTAGGCCAAAAGATCGGCAAATGATCCAAGATCGTGTGAAAGAACTGCGAGAAATTGTTCCAAATGGAGCAAAGGTACATATTTTGAACTATTTATCATGTCCTTCTCTAGTTTTGTAGACTCGTTGAATGAATATTTTCTCTTACAGATACCTTTTCCATTTTGGTTTTGTGATTTCAGTGTAGCATTGATGCACTATTGGAACGCACGATCAAGCACATGCTTTTCTTGCAGAGCGTCACAAAACATGCGGACAAATTAAAACAGACTGGAGAGTCAAAGGTTTGATTATATAACCATTTAACCTTTGTTATGATCCCATTGTCAAAAATTAGTTTTCAAGTTCAGATGATACACATTGAAATGTGTCTACAAAATGTTCGGATGACGTGTTAGCAAGTGATACAAGAAGCCTGAATGTATGAGAATTACTGACGACCTTTCCCCTCATGTTGTCAACTTGCAGATTATCAGCAAGGAAGGAGGATTGCTTTTAAAAGATAATTTTGAAGGAGGAGCGACGTGGGCATATGAAGTTGGTTCACAGTCTATGGTCTGCCCGATCATAGTTGAGGATCTGAATCAACCTCGTCAAATGCTCGTGGAGGTCAGGACATCTATAAATTATGAAGTTTTGACTCTTTTTTTTTTTTTTTTTGATAAAAATTATGAAGTTTTTGACTCTTCTGTGGACTCATTCATTTATTTCAGCTGAGTTGGTTTGCTTTCTGCAGATGCTTTGTGAAGAACGCGGTCTATTTCTGGAAATAGCCGACATAATAAGAGGATTGGGCTTGACCATCTTAAAAGGGGTTATGGAAACGAGGAACGACAAAATATGGGCGAGGTTTGCCGTAGAGGTACACACTTTTGCCAAGTTCAACTGTCTATATGGTCACTGACTAAGTTTGAGCGTCTTATCTTACCAAACGTGTCAAGTTTAAGGGGCTATCTAGGTGTTATGCCTTCTTATAGTAGCCCAAACATTTCAATAATTTGATGTTTAATTACAGGCAAATAGAGACGTGACGAGGATGGAGATATTCATCTCACTTGTTCGCCTCTTGGAGCAAACATCAAAAGGCGCAGAGGAATCTGCTAAGGCCATTGATAACGACACAGCAATGATGCATTCGTATCACCAAGCAGCGTCTATACCAGCAACAGGTAGACCTTGTACTTAACAATGCTCAACAGATGAGAGACTGTGATCTTTGTCTGGACGTGTTGAGAGCGAGCAATCAACCATGCTTGCCATGACTAACATTGTACACTTAGGCTGACCCTCGTGGTTTTTCTCAAAGCTAATCCTCATTTTTCGCCACAATATCCAGATTCTCGACGTGCCAAGCCTTTTAGTCCCCTCTCAGGATTGCTTTTGTAGAATGGCGATTCATCGTTCGGGCTAGTTTTTTTTTTTTTTTTTGGCTCTTGCCCTTTGAAGTACTATAATTTTGATTTGGTACAAGGAGAAGGGAAATGGTTTTTATTATTGTATAGAAAAAGGTGGAGGGTAATAGGAAGTAAGCTTAGGGGTGTTTATTTTAGCTAATATTTGTCTAGTTAAACTGTTTTTTCTGGCTTTAATTATGTGTTTTTTGCCAGCTGAAATATTCTTGTTTGCATTATTATTTACTTGCCTTTGGCCGATATCATTTCTATCATTTTATGGAAAGTGAAAGTCGTTTCATTTGGTACGAGATTGCTTCACATCTCGAATGTCGAAGTTTTGTCCAAAATCCTCATTTGAGAATTTGTATAGAGAAGGATTTCCCACAGCCCAGCAGTTCTTCCATACCAACTTAGCTGGTGTTGCTATTGGCATAACAATTGGTACACCATAGGTTAGTCCAACCTAGTCCTCTCGTACTAGGGTTGACTTCTTGCAGATCTCCGTTTTACACCAAGGTAGATAGGAGTCTCACGACGTTCTAAATCCAACTCGCTTACTACTTTTCCACTTCATTCTCATTGGAATTGCCAACAAAAATAAATGTTGGACACATTCTAAGTTTAAAATTTTGTCTATGATTACGAATTTTGAAAGTTTTATTACCACACAAATATTGTTAAGAAAAAAACCATAATGTTGTGGCATAATAAAACTCTTAAACTTAGCGTCGAATTTGAATAATTTTTCTAAGTAATAAAACTCTTTTGATGTGTTATTGTGATCGTTGGGATTTATACTACACAACAGTCCAATAAATTTACAATAAAAATGATCTGAATTTATTATTTTTCACAAATTTAAGTTAGTATAGTGTATAATTAATGTAAAATAATGTATTTTATTTTTCAGGTCACTTTTTATGTGCACAATAACGAAACCAAGAATATCGCTAAGGATATAAAAACTTTTATATAATCAATGTATATTATAATGTTGAATTAATCACCAATCATTCTAGCTATTTTTTCCTTATGATTTAGGTTTTTTTTGGAACCTAAGGCAAATTGAAAGTCGTTATTTTTGGATGCACACAAAATAAATTTTCTTTTTGTAAAAGCTCACAGACTCTAAAAAAATTTATAAATCACATTAGATAAGTTCGATGTGAGGAACTCGACTAAGAAGATATTGATAAAAGAAATCAACCTCTAGCTTTCATTGTGGAATATCACCTGTTGCACCAATTCGATTAATTAACATTTTTGTCAAAGCAAAAATCTATGCTTATAGGTTATGAAGTTGGGTTGGTTCCTCAAAATATATCTATTCTTTTGTTATAATAATATTCTTTTATTTCAAAGACATATTCCTGAAATTTTATATCCCCAACTTATATGGTTAAATTGGATGCTAAAAGAATCAAATATTTGTTTGTCTGTGCTATTTTTTCATAAGAAAAAAAGAACGATTTTTTGAAGTGAATAATAAATAGATTTCTTCACCGAAAAAAATATATTTATTTACATACTGTAAGATTTATTTTTCACAACAACATTTTCATTTTCAAGAATTATGAACGATGAAAAGATTCCAATCATTCCTTATTTATTTAAGGGTAAATGACATTTTTGGTCCCACAATTATTACATACTATTAAGTGTATATACACTTAATCAACAATTAACTAAAATGTGCACTTTGATTGTTTATATCCACAAATTTATCATTATTACTAATTGTTCCACTACTTTACTCATATGTTATGAAGCTTGCATTAATATTTTCCATATTTAGATGGTAATATAGTTCTAAATATAATCAAAACATAACATACTTTCTACCTAAAAAATCCAAAAATACATGTTTCAATGAATTAAAAATTAAATTTACTTTGTCATATTCATAAGTATCAAAATAAGAAATTATCAATAACTACTACTATTATCTTTCAAATAATTTTGTTCTTTGTCTTAAAAAATGGTCAAGTGATTAGTTTTGCATAAAACAGATTCAAGATTTTTTATTTTTTTTTTACATATAAAAGGTCAAAATAAAATATGAGAGTTTTTGGAGAAAATTATTTTGTTTTTATTTAAATTGCAAAGGATATGGAGGAGAGATCTACCACAAAAACTATTAAGTGCGGCCTAAATCATGTATTTATTTATATTAAGAATATATATACTTAAAATTACGATCTAAAACTCATAAATTTAAAATTCTCGACTCTCGACTCGAATAAAGCAACATGTCTGGTTGTCCTAACAAAACAGTACAGCAACATATCTTATCAATAAAAGATGCTAATATTTTTTTTTCTATGAGAACTAAAAAATCTTTTACTAGGAGAAGATTAGGTCTCAACCATTGACAAGATTCATGGATAGGGGGGGATAAATATAAAGCAATGAAAAGTTTAATAATGTTCTAACCAAACATTATTATTTTCCATTTATTTATTTATTAATTTATTTTGTTCTAGCATTGATGCTTTTTGTCTATTCATCAACCCTATTTTCATGACTTTTTTTTCCTTTGAATTCTTAATTATTAGGATGGTAATATGGAGTTTTGGAACAACAGTAAAATTGTCTCTGTGTTATCTATAAGTCATAGATTTGAATTGTGGAAGCCGTCACTAATATACTTGTATTAGAATAAACTATATACATTACACCCTTAAAAGTGTAATTTTTTTTCCAAACTTTGATAACGCAGAATATTTGTGTACGGGGTTGCCAAGTATTGTAAAACTAAATAAAACTTTACACCAAAAAGGAATATCTGGATTCTATTCTCTAGCTGGATAATAAATGTATTTCACTTATTATAACAAGTTAGTCACCATTTAATGATTATCATAGAGACTTACCTCTATATATTACCTTTATAAGTTATCATTCATGAGAAATAAAAATTAATATAAATGCACGTTAGTTAATGTATATCATTCAATATTAATTTGTGGGATATTTCTATCAAACGTAGAAATATAAAACTAATGTAATAATGTATACATTTGAATTAAATAACTTAAGTATATAAACTTTGCTTGGTGGAGTGTTGGTTTTGAACTTCACTTTGCACCATTAGGTCGCAAGTTCAAAATTATCAACCCCCCTGCTTTATCACATCCAATTATATATACATATTATTTTTTTCGAAGTTAACGGGCGCATGACGTGCACCATCACATGAATACATGGGTTGTCTGCCTCTGCGTCTGGATACAAATTCAGTTGAACCCAATAGTTTTTGATTAAACAATATATTTATATTAATAAATTTATTAAATATGTACAAATATTAAATTTAAAATCTATTTAATAACACTTGAAGTTGTCGTTCTAAAATTTAGAATCTATAAAATTGAAATTCTGGCTTTTGCATTTCTAGGAGTTGTTTAGTGTTTTGTAGATTTATATGTATGTCAATAGAAAATACAACAAACTTGTAATATTTTTTTATCTTATATTTATAGAGGGGCTAATATACTCCTCAATTTTGAAATTTGGAGCATATATATTCTTCGATTAAAATTAAGGTGATGCATGTATACCTCACTCATTGTCTCACAAATAATGTATATATACATCACCATCTAACAAATGATGCATTTTTACCCTCGTTGTCTATCAAATGATACATATTTACCGTTTTCGTACATACCTATATTTATGGAATTAAAAAGAGAATCATAAAACTAATTCTTAACTTCCAACGATATCATTGAGTTAAAAAAATTAATTCACCTATTTTTTATTATTGCTATCAATAATATTTGTCTGAGACGAGTTTATATAAAATTAATCAACCCTAAACATTTGTTTGAGATTGAAACGTAGTCGTTTATTATTGCTATTTTTGTGACGTGTTGAAATGTTAGGGACATATCATTTATGTCTCTAGCTCCTATATATTCGGAATGGAAACTTCACACACATATAATAATATTCTTCCCAATATTCTTTTTAAAATTTTGGTATTCTCAACCCCTCAAATATTTTAGCGTTTGATATTTATTTTGAAATTTAATTAATTTAATTTTACAATGTACAAACTTAGTGTCTCCTTCTAAAGATTTTTTTCTTCGTTTATCGAATTTGAACCTGCAATATTTAATTAAAAGTATAAAGGAACCTATTCATCTGATCGTAAATCATATGATAATTTATGCTAGTGAAATGCATGCATTGGTATGACAAAACAATTAAATGTGAACCATTTATTTCCTCTAAAAATAAAATTTATTATCTCTTATCTGTCATACAACATATTATTATTCTAGATCTATAATTTTATTGGCCAACTTTAAAAGAATTTGGTTAAAAGTTGAAGTGACTTCAAATTTGGAATATTTTCAAGAACACTAAGAATAAATTCAAATTCTTCGGATCATGTGTCTTGCAATCAAATCATCAATTGGTAAATAAAGTTACTCCGTTCCATTTTTATGTGACAAATATTAAAATACGCTAGTTAAATTATGGGTGCACATGATACAATAGTTAAATTTTTTATTTTTGTTTTTAAAAATATTATATTATTATCATATCAAATTAATTCGGTATATATATGATTTCAATATTTGTAAGTTCCATTTTAATTTATGATTTGTTCGACTTGACTTACATATAATAGAAAATTATGACTTTTGTTTTTTACAAAAAATATCTCAATTATATCATACTGATTACACCTTGATAATCGTGTAGAAATATTCAAATGAAAGTATAAACAATTACTTTGTTAATCGATTATCCAAAAAAGACATTTCAATCAAAATAAAATAATCAATAGTTTCGACTAAACAATTAGTTTAGTACTAATAGTAACTTATGAGTTTGTTAGTATCATAAGAATATAGTTGAATTGTTTATGAAATTATATATCTTAGTACGGTATTCAATATGTTGATTATCAAATCTTTTTAAAATGTCATCAATTATCATAATACCGAAATCATGATATCAAATAGTATTTTAATATGATAATTTAGTATCTACCATATCGTGTCCACCATAAATCAAACAACCTAATTTTCTATGTGAATTTGAAAATTAAGCAACAATTTTCATAGAAAGTATAGAAGTGTTAGTCATTTAATTAATTTACAGTTTAAACTAATAAAAGTGTCCAAAAAAATTAATGTCATCTCACATGTAGTGATTACCTTATCTGTCCCAAAGAGAGGGAGAAAAAACAGCTAATCAGAATCAAAGTTTCTCTCATTTGATATTT